GGAGGACGCCCGCGCGTTGGATGGGGGAACGCGTTTGCCCACTGCGGCCCGACCCCGGCCGTGGGCCGCGTTGCGGGACCCGACGGCATCCCTCGCGATGGATGCCGCGGCGCGCCGACTGCTGCGAGTGCGCCGTGCGCCTCCGCGGGGTGCCCGCGGTGGCTTTGGGCCCGCCATCGCGGAATGCTGCGCCGCGGGTTTGTGCGCCGCTGCGCGTCCACGTTGCCATTTTTTTGTCGCCTTCGTTGCCCGGCCCGCTGGGCGGGGAAGCGGATCCATTCGGTGGAGCCCAGCGGGTGCCTGTTTGGCGATGTCCGAGGCGAACCGCGGCCTCCCTGGAGGGGCCGGCGGCGCCGTGTGCAGGAGGCCCTGCTCAGGTGCAGCCGACTTGCCGCCCGGCGGCTGCACGCGCCAGCGTGTGGCGCCATAACACTGCCAGTAGCGACGTGTAGCGGCGGTGCGCTGCACACACGGAGGCGCGTGGGGCAGCGTGGCAGCCCCACGCGGCGGGGGAACGATTGCGGTGGAAGAAAACAATAACAACAGTAATAATAGTAATAATCGCCCCCTGTTGCTGGTTGCCTTCTCTCTTTTCCTTCTGCTCCACCCTCCTTGCAACGCGTGTTGTTTGTGTGTCTAGGGCAGCTTTCCAGCAGCAGCACCGCGGCCGGCGCGTGACGGGCCGAGAAGAAGCGCAAGCAAAGGCCTCCGGCGATGGACTACCGCATAGACGAGCTCGGCCGTTTTCGCATCCTCTTGGGCGGCCTTTCCGCCTCGCTCGCCCTCTCCGTGTTTTACGGCTTCAACCTTCTCAGCAACTACCTTCAGAAGGAGTACGGCTTCAATACGAATGACCTGACCACCATCACAACCACCGGCATCGCCGTCGGGTTCGTGACGTTCCCCGGGGGCATGCTGCTCGACTACGCGGGGCCGATGTGGGTGCTCATCATTGCCACCACCTCGTGCACGCTGGGCGCTCTCCTCTTTGGGCTGGCGTTCCAGGGCCTCATTGCCGCCTCTGTCCTGCGCTTTTCCGTCTTCTGTGCCTTTTTGAACTTTGGCTGCGCGTGGTTCGACGCCGGCTCGCTGATGGCGGTGCTCGGGAGCTTCCCGCGCACGCGGGGCCTCGTGGTGGCCTTGATGAAGACGTATGGCGGCATCGGCGCCTCCGCGCTGGCCGTGATCAACTACAGCTTTTTCCGCGAGAGGTACGCGGCCTACATGTACTTCATGGCGATTGCTGTGGCGGTGCTTGGGGGCATCGCGATATGGTTTGTGCGGTTCCCGCCGTACCACCTTGTGGACCGCGAGAAGAAGACCGTGCCGTCGGAGATCCAGGAGCGGCGGCGGCTGATCGAGCCCTACTACCTGCAACAGCAGCCGCCGATGCGGCGCTTCTTCCTCGGCTGCTTCCTCATGCTGGCTCTAATCATCTACCTGACGACGCAGTCGCTGTGCGTGGCCTACGTGGGCGGGATATCCGACGGCACCCGCATGGGCATCACCATAGGGGCGATTGTGCTGGTGCTCCTACTGGCGACGGTTGCGGCGCCGCTTCCGTTTCTTGGCGGCATGTCGCAGCCCGCGAACGAGTTCCTCCCGCCGTTGCCGTGCAGCGCCGTGGAGGTGGGGGAGCGGGTGCTGCCGGTGCAGGGGGCAGACGAGGCGGAGGAGGCGCAGGCGGTTCGCGGCGACCTTGACCCGCAGTACCAGGGCACCTTCTGGGAGGACCTGAGGACGCCGGACTTGTGGATGCTGTTCTGGACCATGCTGGTGACTTGGGGCTGCGGGATCGTCCTCAGCTTCAACAGCGCCCAGATATATCGTGCGTTGAACGACAACGAATACGACGCTGCCACAAACACGATGTACTCGTCCATTCTTGGCGTCGGGAACGGTGTGAGCCGCCTGGCGCTGGGGGTCCTGGAGGTCGTGATCCTCCGCCGGCCCCCGGAGCGGCGTCCCACAGCCACCTGCCTCTTCCCGATTGCCTCGTGCAGCTTGTTCCTAGGCGTGCTGTTTTTGCTGGCCCTGCCGCTGCGCTCCAAGGCCGTCATCATTGGGTTCTTTCTCAGCGGGTTCGGCAACGGCTCGGCCTGGGCGAGTGCGGCCCTGGTGGTGCGCTCCGTGTACGCGAAGGACATCGGCAAGCACTACAACTTCATGTTTTTGGCGGCGCTTACCGGCGTCATCGTGCTGAACCGCTTTGCGTACGGCGAGCAGTACACGCGGGCGGCAAGGCGGGGCCACTCCTACCCCCACTGCGGCGGAAAGGCGTGCGTCCAGAATGGACTCATCGTTCTCCTGTGCGCATGTGCGACGGCCATTGCTACGAGCGTGCTTGTGCACGTCCGCTACACCCGCTTCGTGAAGAGGACGCGTGCCGCTGTGGAGGTGTGCAAGCGTGCGTCCGGTGCCCCCGAGGACGAGAACCACGAAGGTGGTAGGTAAGCCCATATTTGGCGACCCACCTCTCCCCGCCGTCGCTGGCTCTTCATTTTTCTGCATTGAGGCAGCTCCTTTTTTCCCTCCCCATACTTTTAAAACGGCGTTATTATTATTATTATTATTTTGGCTTCCTGAGAGCCTGCGGAATGAGTTGTGCGGCGGCAAGTGCATTCGGGAAAGCCACCCAATGCTAACCCCCTCCCGCCCCAACGCGCCCCTGCGAATGCGTGGGCGCATCGGTGTGTGTTGGGGAAGAGGGGAAGTTATCGGGGCCACTTCCCCCGCGCCGCTACGCTGAATTTGGGTAACAGACGTTTTTGGCGCCTCTTTTTCGTAAGGAATTGAATTGCGGCGCGCGGTGGGGGCCGCGTTGGTCTCGCTGGCGGCCGGCGGAGCGGACCAGGCGTGCCATTTGAGGAGGCGTGCGGAATAAGATAAATAATTTTCCTTTAAAGTTTTTAATGCGCTTCCTAGCAAATCTGCGGGGCCAGAACGCCCATGTTTGTTGGTTGGCCTCGTTTTTGCTTATTTCCGCGCTGCGGGCGTGCGGGGGGAACGCGCGCTGCCTGCTGGCGGTGTGCTGCTGTGTTTTAAAGCGACTTGCTTTCCTCATTTTGTTGCCTCAAGGGCGGCGCAAAGGGCAATTGCCGAGCGTACGATTGCAAGCGGGCCTTGCAGGGAGGCTCGCCGCAGCACGGCCGTCACGCTCGCAGGGGCGGCGGCCCAGCTGCCTCTTCGCTTGAGCTCCGCCCGGCGTGGGGGCCCCATTGGGGTCGTTGCGTGGAGGACGCCCGCGCGTTGGATGGGGGAACGCGTTTGCCCACTGCGGCCCGACCCCGGCCGTGGGCCGCGTTGCGGGACCCGACGGCATCCCTCGCGATGGATGCCGCGGCGCGCCGACTGCTGCGAGTGCGCCGTGCGCCTCCGCGGGGTGCCCGCGGTGGCTTTGGGCCCGCCATAGCGGAATGCTGCGCCGCGGGTTTGTGCGCCGCTGCGCGTCCACGTTGCCATTTTTTTGTCGCCTTCGTTGCCCGGCCCGCTGGGCGGGGAAGCGGATCCATTCGGTGGAGCCCAGCGGGTGCCTGTTT